CAGCTAATACACACACACACACACACACACACACACACACACACATTAAAATTAATAAAAAATAAATAAATAAATAAGATCAAAATGAATAAATATTGTGGAAGCACACCATTGCAGTGTTATTTTAGCATCATTGGGATAATATTATAGTTTTTATAAAACTATAAAATTTTCTGTTTTCATTTTATAGTAATTTTTGTCATTTTTAGTAGTTTTTGTTTTATAAATATACGTCTATATAGATTTAAATAATTTTTTTATTTCAGTTTTAGTTTAATTATTTTAGTACTTTAAATTTAACTAAATTAAAATGAGAAATGTTGCCTTGGCAACTAGCTAAGTTTTTTTTCAGTTAATATTTATTTTATTGCAAGTAACGAAAATATTTATAACAATGCACCACTGTAACGGAAAGGGTTTATAATACAAGACAAAACAACAGTTCAAGTCCATGTAACAACATAATTTTGATTTCATAATCACTGTAAGCTAAAATCGTAATTGAAAATAAATGTGAATAATCGCCCAGCCATAGTATAAGTGTCGTGTGTTACCTGAAAAGCATTGAGTGTGATGAACAGATAGGCCACGACAACAGATAAATGCACCAGCACTCCACACAGCCAGGTCAGACCTAACACTGGTAACAGGATCAATACTGGCCTCGTCGCTGCCCTGCATGTGCACACAAACACAATATTAATCCTTCATATTACTGAATGCATTGGCTAGGCTGCTCAGTTTTACTTCAGTAAGACTGAAACTCTTCTTCAAGGACACTCTGGGGCTCTGCTTAACTAGCTAATTATACAGACACTTCTGATTCATTTCTGCTCATTCATCCATATAACAGAACAAACGAGTCTCTGTGGCTATTTGTATGGTATCTTCTCAAGTCCAGGTGGCTGGTAGGAATAAATGAGTTACTGGCGGACAGGTGCTTTCTCGCTGCTTCCTCTGTTCAACAAGATAAGAGAAGAACTAGAAATGACTGAAACTGCTCTCTATCTCTTAACTCTGGCCTGTTTTTATTTCAAAGGAAGTTGAAAAGTGAAACAGCATTCACCAGGTAAGGTCCAGCGTGTGAAGTTTCGAATCAGAACTGGGCGTCAGCATTTTGGCTCTGCGACGTGCACTGGCCACTGTGACCATTACAACCCGAAAAAGCACCACAGCGTTGACCTAAGAACAGAGAACCACATCTTCCATTACAAAACAGTAAAAATCTCCCTTTAATAGGTTAACTTATAATAGCTGTGAAGATTTGTGGATTGTTTTTTTTATGCTGTGCCTTTAAGAAACGACTCTGTCATGTTCATAGCAGCAGGGATGATGTATTTTTGTAGGCCCAGAAATGAGTTAGCATTTTAGTTCCATAGCCCCAAAGTAAATGATTAAATGGTTTTTGGTTAAATGCCAGTCTGCGATGAACACAAGCGCAAAATATTTTTATGTTTTATTTTATGATATAAATTTTATATTTTTTAAAGCTTTTTGTTTTTTACAGCCTTGTAATAATCACATGGTTGTACATGATTCTATCCCAAACCTTTAGGGAAAATGTTTTTAAATAAAGACTGAAAGAGTTGTTGAAAGCTTAACGATGAAGCCATGTGTAGTTCATGTATAGTACATGCTTAGCTTTTTACATCTGGCTACTGTATTTAGGCTTCAGAATCAATCACATTTGTGAAGATTATCATGATGTACAAAACATGCAGCAATCAGAAACTTTTTTTTGGTCACACAGCTTATTTTCTGCAACAATCCAAAAGCCAATGGAAAAATCCTATTGGGCAAACTTCTGCGTTTGGCCTACAAAAATATGTGTTCATAGTGACAGTAACACACATCAGAATGAGATAGTTTCAATAAATAATCATTTTAGGCTCAAGAAAATCTGGAGTTTATAATTTACAGAAATGTACAATATGTATTTTATGCTTGCAGAAAATATGCTTCCTGATGATACGATCCCTTAAATTTATTTAATGTGCTAACAACTTTAAATTTGAATTTCATTTTTCAAAATCTGATCATTAGCATTTAATATCCACATTGCATTCATGCATTTAGCTGACATTTTAATATAAAGTGTCCTTTGCAGTCCAGACTGCTTTAAAGCCGTGATGAAACAGAAGTAGAAAGTCTAATGCATCTGAGTGCAATGTATTATCAAAAAAAAAAGGGGGCGGGACTTGATTCTATCCAACTGTTGTTGATTGGATGGAGGAAGACTGACTAAATGATTGGAGAGGTCCAGCATAGTCACCAGAGAAAAGTCTGTTGTTTCACCAGAAGATCCAGTTATGACATTTTGATTAAACATTACAAGGTTAAAACATTTTTTTAAAAAGCAAACATATGCACAGATGAATCGTTCACAAAAAGATCTATAAAATGCATTTAGGAAATAGATTTCATGCTGACTTTAAAACCATCAGAAGTGCATTGCATATACTCGTACACTCAAAAGCAAATAGGAGACCACTGTGACAATTATTCTGACACAAACACTCACACACTCACTCGAGGAACTGTGCACTTGTGACATACTTACGGCCAAAACAAAGAGCACAGGCCCTGCAAAAGCCCAAATAACGTGCGACTGAAGGTTCAGCCAGCAGTACTGCTGTGCTTTATACCGATCCAAAGTGGCTGCCAAGGTTACAGCGACTATAACAACCGGCAGCCCTAAGAAAGA